ATGGTTTGTTAGCCATATGGGAAGTTTTATAGCAGCTGTGTAATCTGGTTTTTGAGAAGTAAGGCCATAGAATCACGCCGATTAAGAATATCTATCGCACCACAACGCACCTGTCACTCCTCTGGTATGAGATAAATAGGTACAGAGATAATAAATAGATCCCGTAGGTACGGGATGGTTTTTATCTGCAGTCTGCACTCTCTCTCGCCTCACCCAGAGAAAGACATTGATGATCTGCCTCCTCAAAAAAGCATCGAGATTCCATACGACACCACCACGCAATTAGCTGCAGACTGGAGCCGATGGAGACAATTCGTTTTATTCAGACAGATGTCAGGATGACCACGATTCTCAGCCATGAGGGAAGGACCAGAGAGGACTGGTGTATTTATAAGTATTCTACCTTCTACTATTTGTAACTACATAGTGTGTAGAGATTTTTATCATCATCATCATCAACAGCCTATAAATGCCCACTGCTGAGCAAAGCCTCTTCTCATACGGAGAAAGTTAGAGCATTAATCACCACGCTTGCTCAATGCGGGTTGGCGATTTCAAACTTATAATTAGAAATTATAAGTCCAGGTTTCCTCATGATGTTTTTCCTTCACCGTTTGTCAGTGGTGTCTAAATAATCTTAGAAAGTACATATAACTCGGAAAAAGTCATATTGGTACTTGCCGTTGGTAGGTTTCGAACCCGCACCCTCATGCATGAGAAGTGGGCGTCTTAAACCTCCGGGCCACCACGACCTAGAGATGTTTAGAGATGTTTATACTGATTTTTAATCTCAATCACTAACATAGAAGACCATGCAAGTCCAATAACTGAGTTTTTAATTATATTATCAGTAATTTATTTTGGACGCTTGTGTCGCAAAGCCTAATGATGTATTGATATGGGAGGGAGAAATCAATTTTATTTTTAATTCTATAAAAACCTTGGACGAACATAAAATGGGGCGGCACAGCTAACACTAACGGCATAATAATAAGGCGTTGGCAGTATTAAAATAATACACAAGTATGTCTTAATCAGACATTTTTATTTACGAAATACCGTTTAATTAATTAATCAATGCATTAAGGAAAGGTCTCCTTGAAAATGTGTATAAAACTAGTAAAATTATAATTTTATGACGGGTTTATATGTATTATTTTTTGTTAATATGTTCTTTAAATTGCAACATTATATTTTAACATATTATTGAATTAATAATGAGTTGAATCTTTTATTTTACATAATGTAGGTAATATATGTACCTACCTACTATACATTAGTTGATTTTAAATGTGAGTTGCGGTGACCTTTCACATCTTAGCAAGCACTAACTTCTATATCGTAGCGATTACGGTGTTAATATAATAGGCACACATCTATGTTTAGGCATATTAATTTAAGCAGGTACAATAAAACAAAATTAACTTTTGTACTTTTAAGAATGATGACTTCATTGTAAATAAGGATTTGAATAGCGCGTTAAGCGTCAGCTGTAGGTAATATAAAGTTCGATTATGAATTGACTCCACCATTCTCTGGGTTACCTGCTAGTCAGCTATATAGTAACTATTTTATAAAGTGTTGTTTCTTGTTGCTAAATACAAGATCAAATGGAAATGCACTCTCAGTATAGGTACTTTGAGTGCACGATACAGATGTCTGAATTTTTATGGAGTAGGAGGTAAATGAGCAGACGGATCACCTGATGGTAAGCGATCAGCGCCGGACATGGTCACCTGCAACTCCAGAGGAGTCACAGTTGCGTTGTGGTACATAATTACGTTCATTAAAAAAAACTTGTTGTGATTTAACGACTATTGAAATGAACAGCATGTCTTAAACAGATGTAATGTGTATTATGTATCTTCTGACATACATTGACTTGCTTGAATTAAAGGCCTTATGTCCCCTAGATCAGGTAAAGGGCGTCCATCATTTCAACTTACACGTCGTTGCTAAAATGAGAGATATCTAACCCATAAAGGAAATTATTTTAATTTTGTAATCAAACAAATTAAGTACAAAAATGAAGTCTAAGATTCAAGGTTTTAGTAAAACCTATCAATTCTATATCCTGTTGTATCTGGTTTATCAAAAATACATATATCTTTAACGTAATAAGAAAAACATAAAAATCTTATAGTCATGTGATTCAACCACACAGGGCACCTTGAAATGTCACGTCGGGCCTACTAGCTTGTTGATTGGATCCGGGTTTGTTTTCACACTGTGACCAGACTTTGAGACGGTTGCAGCATCCTATTCAAATCCGCTACTATTCCCTGATCATTAGCGTTTAGGTTCTAAGTAACTTTTAAAGAGCGTTCATTGGTTAAGAGATGCCTTAAGCATGGTTGGTAATAGCGGTCATTAGTCCATTGCTCCTTTTTGGGACGTAAGCAACAATTGAAGGCGGGAAGACACAAGAAATTAATAATAATAAAGCGATAATATCTCGCCCAAACAACAAGTTACATAAATTAATCAAAACCCAAATAACTTGCTTTTTTTAATGGTTTGCAATCAATATCTCAATAGACTTGGATAGCTTTTTAAAATTAAGTATTTACACCGACTACTATTTACTTGTTTTGAACGCTTACCTTAAAGTGAAAACTAGGTATATACAACTCTGTCTAGAAAATTTTTAATCATGAGCTAGTCCAGACTATGATATAAAAGCTGGAATAGAGTGGGTCGGATTTTGCATTATATCCATAAAAAATCTATTTAACTATCAACCATGAAAAATACTGACCCATTAGCTATCGCTGTTTATTAAATAAATCCTGGTAGTAAACATATAAAAAAAACAAAAGATGAACGCGTACACGATACGTAGTACCTGCGTAGCAATTACGTAGCTGCTGCTGCTGCTACGAATCTGGTAGCAATTTCGTAGATAACGCGTATCCGCTACGTAGACGCTGCGTAGTCGCTACACTGCTATAATAGGCGTGCTAAAATTTCTGCTGTTTTTAAGTAGCAACTCCTCACTATTTTTACAAATTGGAAAGGGTAACTGGTAGCCTCAAGGTTTATAAAAGTTGACACGGTGTACATAATATGATACAAAAAAGAAAACATCCTAGAGAATTGATCAACCACGGTACTGGCGCATGAGCACGGTACTAGTGTATGGCGGTCAATCTCAATTAGAGGATCAACTGCGCAGAAACTATTATAGTGTACCTAAAACCAGTACCTTCATTATCCAATGGCACATCATCGACGCAACTAAACCAATGGAAATAGTTGAAGCGCAGGCTGTGTACGCGCACACACTTTTTTCTGTTAGGTGTAAAACTCCACGAAATTTTAAAAAAATACTTTTGATATTCATATCGCTGGAAATAGATGGTTGAGGGGCACACTAAACCATTGCAGTAAAAGGGGGAAGCCTATATTATATCTAGTAGTGTGGGATTCAAGCCTGTTATAAATTACAATGAAGAATTTCATTTGAAAACCACCGCATCCTGTTAAAGTAGTTGAAGGACGAGCAATGCAGGCTGTGTAAAGAAATAGTGGTAAGGGTTTCAGGAAAATCAGGAAATGGGACTTATGAGCCACGCCACGTCTTCGTACTAAGCACGGTAATGCTAGCTGTTGATTAAATAGACAGATTATAAGTATTTTTAAAACGATTACATTTAATCGTGTAATTTTCATCCAATTTCATTGAAAATGTCATAGTTTAGTTATAAAAATAGAATAATGTTAATATATTTACACTACTCTTATATACTCTTATAAATATATACCATAATAATCTAAATACATTCTTTATTACCTAAAATAAACTTTTTAGGTGACTTAGAAGATATTATGATAAATATTGGTTAAATAGTATATGGACAAATATCAAGATACTAAGTGTAACCGCGTTAGCTGGTTTATTTGAATTCAGTTCACATAGAAAGATCGACTAAAACTTAATCGATTCGAATAATGCTTAATCATTGAATTTTCAAGGAATCTTAGTTTAAACAAGTGTAAAAGTTAAATATCTCTATTCTTCTTGGATTAAAACTCTGTTAATCATGAAAACGATGTTTGAGTAAATATCAACATTCAAAAATAAGGCACCAATTAAGTAAAGTACGTTGAATGTCATCAGCTGTGTGTGATCAACTCGGTTTTGCGAATGAATAAAATTCAACACTAATTTTAATCTGAAAAATGATGATGTCTGTAATTTAGAACATTGGTTCTTATTTTTATTTACAGTATAATATGGGGCGTATTGCTAGTCAAGGCGTTAAAAATAATGGCATACTGGAAACACATAAAAATAAAAATTCTAGTCGTTTTTAAACTATTGGGTTTGTGTAATAGCACCGTGTACCACCATATTATAATATACATAGCTAAGTTTGGCATTTAATGAATATCTTATAATTGTCTGTTTTCTTGATTATGTATTCACTAATCAAAATGTTATCTATAATATTCATGTTTACACCTAGTGTAAAATAATGCGCTAGTATCAACATTACTCTTACACTGCGTCTCTACAGTGCGTGTAGGGGTTGCAATGTGAACGACTGTGGCGCCCTCATTCATGTTCATGATTAAAGAGAAGATATACCTATGATTTGAACTATTTCTTACAAAAAGAAAAAAGATTTACGTCTTCGTTTGCAATTATAAATAAGGAACATAAATCATATTCCTTTTGCATTAGCATTGTAGTACTAGTTAACGATTTAAAATCGACTATTCAGGGGCTACCACTATACAACAGTATTTATGTATAGTATAGTCTGTGGAACAATCTCGCCAGTTCAAATTACACACTTCCTTCATTCGTTTTAGTTCAGTTTTATTTTGATACTTCAATGTACTAGCAGAGTACAGTTTACTTTGTGCAATTTCTTTTAATTTTGCTAATAATTTGTGATGGAAGGTTTAATTTAAATAGAAAATTGATTACTATTATCACAGCTTTATAAATGCTGTTTTTTATATTATAGTTTAATATTTATATTGTAGAAAAAATGATTTCCTTTTTATTATTTGTGATATTTACTACTAATATTGTGGCTGACGAGAGCGTCAAGTATGCTGCCGTTATATTTAGACATGGGGACAGGACACCAGTGCAGCCCTACCCGACAGATCCTTGGCGAAATGAATCTTTGTGGCCTGTGAAATTTGGGGAGCTGACTAATGTTGGAAAGCGACAACATTACGCGCTGGGAAAGTGGCTCAGGCAAAGATATTCGGTAAGACGATACCACCTTTGTCTAAGTATAAAACAAAGCTAGCACAAATCTATCCAATGAATATCATCATCACATAAGTAATCTGAACATTGAGATACTACTGCATGATTGTTACAATAATCAACATGATAATAAAAATAGTCTTTAAATTTTTATTTGCAAAACAAAAGATATTGATAAGTAAATCACCAACTGATATGTATTTATGTCTTACATTTAGTGGTTGACCTCATTGTTCAGCATGTTATTTAATTATTATTCTATTATTGGCACATTGTTGCCTCATGTACTAGTATAGAGGTAAAAGTAATTGCTATGTGTACTGTCCAACTGTTAATATCACTCACGCAATGCTTATTATGCAAGTTCAAGCAACAGCGACCTTCTCAACCTTGTTCAATACTTTTCAAATAACTACTGAATATAATTGGCAATGGCAAATGTAATTTTGATCTAGCAAAGACAATTCATGGTCAGTGTCTCAATTATGAATTTTTCTTTTCAGCATTTATTGTCGGATGCATTTGATCCTACCGAGATTTATATTCGGTCGACAGATATAGACCGCACTCTTATGTCGGCTCAAGCCAATTTAGCAGGTGCGAAACTTTATTTTCTACGACAACAATATGCATGATAATTTCCTCAATTGAAAAATATTTACACATAATTATTTGATTTTTGCATAGGAATGTACCCACCAAAGAGTAAAACTATGTGGAATCCAGATATAAACTGGCAGCCTATACCAGTCCACACAGTTCCTGAACTAGAAGATGAACTCCTTGCTATGAGGAAGCCGTGTCCTGCTTATGACACGGAGTTAGAGAGGCTAACGCACTCAAAGCCATATAAAGAAAGACTGAGAAAATACCAGCATCTGATGGAGTGAGTTAAATCTTCTTTTGTTTTAAAAATACCTACTGGCAGTATAACACTAGACAGCACTTTAAGTCCTGATTAATTTTTATTTATATAAGTAAAGACTGGAATGGTGAATCTTATACTGTTCTATAAAACTAAAGAGTTTGTTTGTTTGTATGCGCTTATCACTGGAACAACTAGCTCGATTTGAAATATTCTTTTTATGTCCATTTATTGATCACGCAACAACCAATAACTAGGAGCCGAGCAGACCATGTGAAACAGTGCGGCAGAATTTTGTGCATAAAATGCAACTTTAAAATAGTTAATCAGGTTTCTGTCTTTCTCTTAGTTGTTTCCCAATTACTTTTCAATTTTAGTACAATATCTTTACCAGATTTGGTTAAACGTCAGTATTTTATATGAAACACAACTCGATACCTATGTTACAAAATTATTGTAAAAAAAGATTTAAACAGATTTGTTCTGTTAAGCCTTCAACTCGACAAAAACTGTTTAAGGCTAATCATCCGCTGGCGTCGGTCGTAATTGTCCGACACAGACACGGCAACCAATGTGTTCAGTAGAAACATATTTTTGGTGTTTTTATAGAAATTGTAGGAATAACTGAATCCAACATCTCAACAACATCATAGTCATCATCATCATATTTTTTATTTTAGTCAAAGTGATGTCAAACACTTTTAATTTTTTAATCTCTGCATACTGGAATAAAAGGCGTTATTTAACAATAATAAATTATTATATCTATGTTGACTTCTGGTTCCGTCTTAAGTAATAATTTTTCTATAAATATACTGTTATAATTTTGATAACACAATGTGTTTTAGATAAATAAATAATGTTATTGTTAGGTATACTTAAATTAGTCTACAGACAAATATAACTATTATCAGAGATAAATATAACTTAAGTTGTTAAGCACATGTACTTTATTATCTCAAAATTGTAATGTTTGATTTTTAATATTAAGAGTTAGATGGATACATTAAATCTGTACCAAAAGTATTTGTACAATGGGCGGCCTTATCGCAAACGACGATTTCTTCCAAGGAACCTTGGGATGCATTAATGAAATAAGTAAAATTTTGAAAGGGTTTAAATTAAAATATTATCAATAGTGTTATTATTATATTCTATGATATTATCAATTTAATGACTGCCTCACTGTTCGTAAGCACGATAATTCGTTTTCACGATCGCTAATAGAAGGTAAACTATTGTCACGATTATCGATATTTCATTACAAGTAGGACGTGTGGGGCGATGTGGGGTTTTTTATGCCCAATGTTAGGAAATATGTTCGTCAACAACATTTTGAGCATATTGCAATAAAATTATAGACGTATACAACTTTAACTATTGAAGAGAAACAATATAAGTACCTAATATAAAACTTTTTCAATTTCAGTTATCTGTCGGCGTATTCTGGTATGAAGGTGAAAGACTATTATGATATTGTTGATATTTATAGTACTTTATACATAGAGACTCTATATAACTTTACATTACCAAATTGGACTCAATCTGTGTACCCTGATGAAATGCGCGAACCAGCGTGTTACAGGTTTGTGATATCTTTACTTTACCATAACTATTAACCGACTTCTCGAAAAGGAGGAGGTTCGACCGATATATTTTTTTTACTACATAGTTTTTCAATTAGTGGTATTGATCATCATTGTTTAAGCATCAATACTTCAATAGATCTTGAAAGTCCACTGCTGGCCTATGGGCTTCATCAACGGAAGTGGGTTTGCCATAATCTGCATGCTTGGTAAGCATGTTGGAGATCTTAACTTAAAAAGATCAGGTTGATCAGACAATGCTGTTGCCTGCTCTCTGTTAAACTGCAGGTGTTGACTTAGCACTCAAGGTACCCGTGGTAAAAGTATTATGGTGACAAAATGTATTATACTTTACTATCACTAGACACTGCAAACGGCGCAGGTACTCATGGAATCGTCCAATTATCTATAGTGTTCGTGCATTGCTATCTATATCTATCTGGTTTCACACCAACCCTAGATACGAGGCGTCGTGATACCTACATACAGGAAGCAATTAATCACTAAATGAAAGGAAGGCGCCAATCTCCCTGCTCACTACGAGCGAATTGATGCAATATCAACGTTGATGACTTGCAGTAGGAAGTCTATGAGTGCATTTTATGACTGAAGTGAATTGTAAAAAATCGTTCACAACTCATACATATATAGTAAAAATATACCGTTCATTCATGTAATGTTTTCAAAATTAATTCAATTGAATATTGATGCGGTGGCTGAGCCGCCGACTGCTGCGCAATATGTTGCGGGTTTGATTCCCCCACGGCGTAACTCTGTGTGATACACAGTTTGTTGTCCCGGCACTGCGTGTCATGTGAATTTGTATGTCTGTAAACGCACCCACGTCAAAGGAGAAAATCCTAGAGCGATGCAATCATTAATTTAAAAAAAAACTACCTTATTTCCTCTTTACAATTTAATGTATTCTTCTTATTACAGCTTCAAAACTGAAACAGGATCTCCCCTTCTCTCCCGACTGAAAGTAGGTCCATTGCTCAAACATATAATGACGCATATGTCGGATGTTTTGTCTGGTGACAAGAAGAGTCATAAGGTGGTGATGTACAGTGGACATGACCTGACTGTGGGCAGTATACTCAATGCCTTAGGATTATACGATGGAAACTGCCCGGTGTACACATCAACTGTATTCCTTGAACTAGTGAAAGCAAGTAAGTAGTAGTGAATGAAAGTAATTTTAATCAGCAGACTGCTGTTTTTTTTTATTAGTCCCAAAGGGAATGACAGTGGTGCACAAACTACCACATATGTAATGTATATGTGGCACACTACCTTTTCTATAGTTATATTATGAGTGTCATGTTGCCCCATAGTATGCATATACTGGGCATAATGCCTAACCAGACTCCCTCTAAAGGAATTTTTGTAAAACAAAAAACTATAATACTTTGTCCGGCCCGAGAATCTAATTCCAGACCCTTTGCTAGGTTGTCGTACTTGCAACCACTTGACTAACGAGCCGACGAGACATAATTTTACTATATTTAAATTTCAGATAAAACAGGAGAACATTTTGTGAGGATCTCGTATAGGAATTCAACAGAGATTGTTGAACCATATATTCTCAAGATACCATTCTGTGGTGAAGTCTGCCCGGTGGAAAGGTTCAAGAAGTTATATGATAACCTTATATCTGTTAATTGGGAAGAAGAATGTAAGAAACAGGTAAGATTCTTGTTAATTCATATCATGAGTGGCATGAAATTGAAATTAAATAGATTCTTAAATCAAAACAAATAGTTACTGAACCAAGCGATTAAGCACTTGACTTCCTAATGTAGTGATTAATATTAATTTAATATTTTTCAGTCTTGTTAATCTCAGGTCGTCAAGTTTCAAAATAGGTAAACTCATCTTGATAAACTCTGTATCTGACTTGCATATTCTTAGAACAATAGAACTAGATCTGTAGTTTTGTAGTAAGTTTGTGTACAATGTTTGTTATGTAGCGATTTTGCTATGTTAAGTAAATATTTAAAAGCAAATTATTAGGTTTTCACATTTGAACCGTCTTACTTCGATGTGTTACTGTAAACGATACCATTTACTACAATCTAATTTCACTATTGTATTGAAGCTAGCTAGGCTCTTATAATAAAGCACATAAAAATGAGAAGTGAGGAGCACAGAATGTGTATTACGCAAACTCTCAGTGATCTCCATTGAGCCTGATGGCAGAAGAATTGTGTGAATAACGAGCTTCTATTGGTTGTTTAAATTAAGAATATGACTGATATTCTCATCACATTCTCGCTCTGGTGGACGCTGGGCCTTATAAATATTATATTGAAACATAATTGCTATTACTATCAGTATTGGCTAATACTCTGTCCTGTTTATGTTTGTAAAACAATATGTATGTACAGTAAATCAACGGCTCCTGTTACATTTGTATCATTAGAAGTAACTATGTATGTAACTTGATAAACAGATTAAACTATTTTGGTAGTGTTGAATGTCAACAACAATTCTAAACAATGTGTTGTTATCGAATACCAATATTTGTGTCTAAAGTATTATATATCTCAAGACATTATAATATTTGTGTTGATCTTTCCTGCTGTGATGCTCAATAATTATATAGGCATCAACATAGTACTTATGTATATCTATATTAGTCATATTAGGTATATGCAAGGAAAACAACTCGTTTGTTGCTAAGCTGTGCTGTTTGAATGCATATGATCTTTTACAATTAATTCAAGTATTTAATGTATTGTTCTGTCACTTTGATTGGAGCATGGTACCACAAAGTATATAGTAAAGTGCCGTTTCAGTAGAGGATCACAACATTTATGTTAAAACGTCATCAGTAACTCAAAAATCAATAAAAAAACAATAGTACTTATCGATACTCTATTTTGACGACGTAAAATTTTTGGATGCCAAGCTTTACAGCGCCTCTAGCGATCACTTAGGGAACTAAAAGCCATTCAATAGTTTTACATGGTGGTGGCTATCGAGTATCGGCAAATACTGTTGCTTTAAATTCATAGTAGAGATAATTTTAATAGTGTGGTATGTACATTCTACATCATATTAAGATTTTTTATTATTTTACAGTTCCCGGCGCTCCTTGGAGCCTCATTTATAGTTGGCCTGTGTCTGTTTATAACAATATACGTAGTCCACAAAATACACTTCGCTCGTGTATATAAACAATACAGGTCAGTATATATTCCCAGGTCAGTATTACATTATGTCAGAGTTTTGGCTGGTTGTACAGACACGCTGATCGTTAGCGCTGACTAACCAATATGCATGTATGTCGCTCAGCGCTAGCAAATGACCATCTCCCGTGGCACCGGTAGCAGATGAACGATGATAAAACAAATTTCTTTATTTGAGGTTTTCATTTTTGCTAAAAATGACTGCTTTTGCTAAGAATTAATGATAAATTTACAATAGATATCGTAGGTGCTTGACAGTAATCGGCGTCAGACTCACTCTGACGCCCTGAAAATCAGCTTGACTGTAAATTCAGTGAAACAAAACCTATTGTAGATTACTGTAATCTCTTGAATAGTGAAAATTAATGTAAATTGTAATGTTTTCAGGAAAAATTTGTCTTACCAGAGTATCCAGAAACCTACCGTGATGCTAAGCAATCCACTACAAGCCTAGATAATGTTAATCTTTACATACAAACCTATATACAATCGATACCTATTTTTAGATAATTATGCATTTGTAAGTAGGTATTAGTTCATAATAAAAAGTTGACTGTGTTTTATTCTTTGACCAAAAATGTATTAACTATTTAGTAGTTACTAGTTCCTTTATTGGACCAGCAAAATAAAAGTCATTATATTTAAAGTAGTATCTACTTTCATTCATAAATGCATGTTTCCCCCTAACCTATGTACCTACCAATGAATCAACTATCCATACTTAATAGGTAAACGTAAACGTACTTAAAGTTGAAGGGCTACTGTTACCTCCACAAAATTATCTCTAGTATAAAACCTTTAATGTGAATATCAACGTAATTTGGATAAAACGTTGTGGCGACGCATGCCACATGTCAACGGATGACGTCACAAGAATCCTACATCGCACATACAAAGTTTACAAGCGAATAAACACGGATAGAAAATCCCAACGAACAACTGTTGGGCAGAAAGCCCGCCAGGCACGATCACCTCGCTTGGTCGAGAGGATCCTCCTTTTCCGATCTTAGGGAACTATACTCTCTGTTCCCTAAAGTGGTGACCCCGACGTGATTGGAAGCAACCTTCACTTCACGGAGCAGATCAGCATCATCCGTATCGCCATCCCTCTCATTCATCACTTCGCCGCTGAGCGGTAATCAAGTCGCAGCCAACCAGCATCCTCGGCCTCATCAGGGACCACCATCGCCTGCAACGAAGTCGTGCAGCCTGGTCCTTCCCTGCGGCCTCACCAGCGTCTAGGCACAGCACTTCTGCACACGGTTCTGAAGGACATCTCCTTCCGTCAACGCAGACGCCAGCCACTACGCACCTACCCTCGCAGCATCTCTTTCCCGACTCACCGTGGGACACTGCGAACTCATCTCTCCGACTCACTGGAGTATCGCCCTGCACCGCTCACCCGACTCACTGGGCACTCAGCGGCACAGTCCCGACTCACTGGAACTAGGGACTTTCTATACTGGTTCTGGCACCGCTCATCTCAAGCATCGACAGCCGTCTCAGCGGGATCGACCTCCGGTCTTGGGAGGGAGTGATGTGGCGACGCATGCCACATGTCAACGGATGACGTCACAAGAATCCTACATCGCACATACAAAGTTTACAAGCGAATAAACACGGATAGAAAATCCCAACGAACAACTGTTGGGCAGAAAGCCCGCCAGGCACGATCACCTCGCCTGGTCGAGAGGATCCTCCTTTTCCGATCTTAGGGAACTATACTCTCTGTTCCCTAAAACGTCAATAAATATGGATGTCGTCCACGCACCTATGGGTGTACAGCATTGTAAGAAGGTAGGTAGGTAAGGGCAACGTTATTTAAAAAATACCTTCGGCATCTTCAATTAATCCCATGGGAGCATTTTTCGGGATAAAAAGTATTCTATCAAGTATCACCTAAATAAACCAAATTTCATTTAAAAATACCTTCGGCATCATCAATTAATCCCATGGGAGCATTTATTCAGGATAAAAAATATTCTATCTTGTAAGTATACCAAATTTCATCAAAATCCGTTCAGTAGTTTCAGCGTGATTGACGAACAAACATTCAATCAAAGAAACTTTCTCATTTATAATATTAGCGTGTTTGGTAATAAAATCCACATGAATCTACTGAGGAGCGTTATAGTACGTGTCTCTTCAGTCCACAAAGTCCACAGTTTTTGGGTTCCATTAGAACTGACTTCATACAAGACTAGAGGGAATCAGAGCTTTTGTTTTAATAGATAATCAGTAAACAATCGAAAATTTTTTTAGAGTGGCCACCATTAGTAAATAAATCTAATAACATTCATAAAATTACGTCTTATATTTCCCTAAGGGTAAGGCAGAGATGCACATAGTAAAATGTAATAAGAGATATAACGAAATTACTGTTGCTTGTTTGGAGGTGAGCCGCAAACTGTAATATTTTGGTGATATGTATGGAGACGCCTCATAAAAACACGAGTTTTACTAGTTTTTACTGGCTTTGTGTATGTGGAATAGACAATATTACGACGACTTTTTGAAGTAACATTATCTGTCTCGCCATCTCGTGTTGTGTGCGTATCCGACCGTTTGCAACGTCTGATCATGTTTTTATAAATTGTCTGTGGATTTTTAGTTGTCAAAAGAAAATGAAGTGTTTCGATCGAGTATGAGAATATTATAAAACTCGATAATAATTACTTGTGAAAATTCTCAATAAAATATCGAAGTAATTTATAAAGATAAATGGATTTTTTTTTGTGATGGGACAGTTAATTTTATGAACTAAGTGCAGTGTGTATTATTGATGTGTTTACGGTTTGTTTCGTTGTTATTTGGTCACGTCTCCTTCGTTTATTCTGTACCTAAGTCGCTTGCGTAGTCTTGGATAAAATAATTTTATAGACTTAAACGATAGTCTTTCGTTATAATTTCGATATAATGATATTTTGGCAGGACATCCCTATTTTACCTACAGATGCAACAAGTGTTACCATAATATTCTTGTTTTTTTTCAAGTTGAACAGGTACCCACATTAGGGTTTAGATAACATTTCAAATTCAGCTAAATGTGGGTATGAATAATAACGTCCATTAGTGAAGTTTGCCCCATTTGGTGTATAAACTTGGTGAGTAGAGCATAATTATTTTGCAAAAGCACTATTGAAGCTACTTTTCTGTAATAATCAACAACATTTTTTACGAAGTTTAAAGTAGTAGATTTGATGACAGAGCTGTAAAATTGTTACTTTCATTGGAGAGCTGGATTTTTATTAGTAACCTCACAATTAAAACTCTGCATGTTATCGTAGATTCTAAGCTAAATTGATTGATTCTAACTTAAATATTTTATTTTTAAACTTATCAGTGGTTACTGTTTATAATTATTAAATGTTATTGCTCTAATAATGGCAGACATTAAAAAGTTGATAGTTTTTATTAGATACACAACGAGTTTCAGTGACACCTACCCTCTATGGTTTTGTGTTAGCAAACTCCTTAAAAAGTCAGGTAAAGGCACCACTATACTGTAAACACAACCTTAATGGCTTGTTTCATCGCTAAAGCTATTAAAAGGGGATTGGCCAGTAGTTAATAGAAGACCTAGCAGTGACACAATTTTAAATCTTCAATGTTATGCCAATGTAGGGAATGATTAAACAAACAAAATATCAAGTGAAGTAATTCTAAAAGTAACATGTTGCTATGTTAAATTGACTACTAATGAGTGGTTATTTAGCTTTGAAATGAAACCTTGTTGTAATAATTTGAATAAAATGAAATGAAGGTACTATGTATTTATTACATCGGACTATAGATTTTCTAAATCAATGTTTGATGATCATTCGGTTTTTAAATAAAATTAACATTTCAAAATATCTCAGCTTTCCTTTGTATATGATAAATAAATAAGTTTGACTTTGATGATATGATTTGGGTTGCAAGATTATTGCAACTAATTTCATAAGATTATTCGTCCTTTTTAGTTATTTATTATAACTATTTAGATATGAATTTATTTAGTTGATTAAATATAGTTATTGAGAGACAATAATGTAACATGTACGTAATTCAGTTTGTGTTTCAGAGAAAGTAAAGTTCTAAAAATAAAGTAAATACCTATATTATTAGTTAATAAGTAATACATATAAAAATTAAATTAAATAGACAAAATATTATTAATTTATCAAGTAATGTTACCAACAGAAAATTAAAATTATTATTTAGAAAGGTTTTATTAAGGTACTATGCTCATTTGCCTCCTATTTCATAAAAAAAAGAAATAGGTAATTTACAAAGATATAGAATCAAAATAACTACATTCCAAATCAATCATAATAATATTATGAATTATGATATTGTTACTTACAACTGATAAAAACATACAAATGAATCAACAACTTCATCATACATGCCTAACTGTAAAATAAAATAGGACACACACAACTAAAGTACCATAGTAAAAATTGTCCAACCTCCTAGTATAACATAATGGTAACCATTAGAGTTTAGAGCTCTGTTTAATTTCCTATAACTAAATACCATTTCAAAAGCAATCAGTAAAATGAATCATATTTTCGTAAAATTATCAATTTATGTTGTCATCATTTCATAACATCTAGTATTGTTACATCCAAGCATGAGAAAAAAAGAACTAGTCCATAGTCAATCAAGATTACCTGGACGAAACACTATTCCGTACGGCTCACTTGAGTTCGCATTATAACTGCATGATTGTGTCGGCGTATTACGGTTTATTGCTCCAACAACAATGCGTGTAGCAAATAAATTTACGCCAGTAAAGTAACATAATCATCGTTGTGAGACCCATGTGACGTCACTCCGTGTGGGCATCACATACGATTAGCCGGATCTACACTGTACGACCTCGCGAAACGTCTGTTATCGTTTGCGCGAAGCATCGAGGTTTTAATTTGCCTCGCCTTGGCTTTGTTACGATAACTGTGGATTAGAAGGCGAGGCAGCTTCAGAATTCATGATAGTTAACTTGCGAAAATACAATATTACTCAATTGTAATCATGACTAATTGAACTTAACCAAATAATATAACTAAAAGCTAACTTTAGGTGTTCATAACGTTCTCGCTATTGGATCTAGGACATGTAATCAATGTCACAACAGTTGAAGTAACTACACCAAGTAAGCGTTAAGCACATTGCATGAAGTATTTTAAAATATTTCGGTTGATAAGATAAACTTCGTTCCATTTAATTTTTTTTTGACCTCTGGTTCAAAGAAAGAACAAACAACCAATTGTTAGGTCTTTTCGGAGTTGTTCAGAGAAATCTAAAAACAAAGACATTAGTTGTATAATGATTTTGATTAGATAAACATGTGTAATCTGATTTCGAAGAGCCTAGATATAACCATAGGAAACGTTTTCTAGTTACGTACCTAGTCATCCAAACAATTCATGATAAGGATTTTACACAGATAGAAAAAGCTATTCGCCTATT